GACATCTACTAATGGCCAATGCATCACGTTTCTCGTAAGGATTGAAAGAAAAATAAAGCTGAATATCGTCAGCATGCAAATAAATGTACCTCACAACTTCGGAGACATTGGGAAAGGTTTCAGGTATAAATACTAAAAATCAGAGGTCCTAAAAAGGAGCCTTGTGGAATACTCTTATTGGAGGACATACCTTTATCTGTTTCTACATATTGTGTTCTGTTAGTTAAATAGTGGCACATAAGCGTGCTAGCAGATTCGGAAAACCCTATATAGTGTAAAATACCAAACAGCATTTCGTGATTTAGTTTATCAAATACCTTGGAGTAGTCCAAGAGCACGAGAGCGGTGGTTTTTCCGGAATCTGTTGCTTTGAAGATGTCGTCAGTTACATTTAACAGTGCAGTTTCGCAGCTGAATCCTTTCTTAAATCCCGATTGATGGTCAGGTAACAAATTGTTCTCAGTTAAATAATCTTTTATTTGTTGGTCCAATATAATCTCCATTAGTTTAATAGCACTGGTAAAATACTTATGGGGCGAAGATCATTGTAGTCATTAATTTCAGACTTCTTTGATATTAGTATAATTTTGGCAATTTTCCATGAGTCTGGAAATTCTCTATCTAAAATACAGGAGTTTATTATACTTGTAATGTAGGGGATGATTTTATGGAAACACAATAAGATCATTTCAAGATTTAGACCATCAGCACCTATGGAAAGCGATTTAATTCTGATTAGTGCATTTTTAACGACATCCTGAGAAACTATGTGGAATTCAAAAAGAGTGTTGACGTTAGTACGCCTGTTGCTATAATAGTAATCCAAAGATGAGCTTGCTCGAGAGATCTGAAGAAAATAGTTATTTAAGTCATCCGGATTATTCAGCTGATCGGGAATACAACCTGTTTTTTTTGTTGCTTATATTTAAATTTAATAATTTTTTCCAACTCACTTTACAGCACAGTATTTCAAATAATTTTTCATTATATATGGCAATATTCATTTGATTTTTCATTTGTTTATAATTTTCCCAATTGGCAGCAGTTTTGTTTTTCTTAAATTTCCGGAACTTTTCGTTTTTTAGTTCAATCATGCGTTTAATAGAATACGTTAACCATGGGGGTTTCCGAACTTTAAATTGAATTTCCTTTACAGGAGCTAGTACATCAAAGATATTGAACAGTACTTCAGTCAAAAATAAGACCTTTTCATCAACTTTTGGTAAATAGATCAATTATTGTTCGAAAGGAGAAATTTCCAAAAATCTAGATTGCCTATGTTTCTAAAGCGGAATTTTTTACAACAATTTGCAACAGATTTATGTAGTATACAAAAAGTTAACGAATGATCGGAAATATGTGACGTATTTTTTGTACCAACAGTAAAATCAGTCTTATCAGCAGGTATAAAAATTACGTTCAGCAAGGTTAGGCTGTTTTTTCTAACTCTAGTAGGTTCTTTGATTACCTGTACTAGATCAAAACCTTCAATACAATCATAAAGCATATTACAATAACGATTTGAAGAGTCAAGAACATCAACATTGAAGTCACCACCACAAATTGTCTTCATATCTATGAATTGTCTCCTCGAAGTGTTCCATGAAGTTGATGATATTAGTTTTAGGTGGTCTGTAGCATAGCTTACTAGATGCAATTTCAATGAAATCCAAATTCCTCAGAAATTAAACTTAAATAGGAAAAGACAACTGAAAACTTCAAATTATTCTTAATATACATACCAATCTCTGCTCCTCAACCATTTCTATCTTGATGAATAAAACAGTAATTTTCTATGGATACTAAATTGTTTTCTATACCTGAATGAAGCCAAGTTTCCGAAATCCCAACGATGTCAAATTGATGTTGTTGTACAAGATTTTTGAGATCTGAGAAATGAAGCACAAGAGATCTTACTTTCAAAAAAGCGACTGAAAGTTTTTTTATTCAGTGAGAAAATGAAAAATAAAGTTTAGAATAAGATTCTACAGAAATTAGAATAACAAAAGTAAAAGGTTTTATTGCGAACATGTTTAGCAGGTCCAGGAACTAATTAGCAATCTTCAATACATCATCTTCATTTTTTATCATAACTTTTTTCCCATCCACTTGAGTGAAGATATTCCCATCAATTGTCCATATCATTTTGCTTGACAACTTATCACGTGCATACTGGAACAGTTGGTACCTATTCTTCACTAGTTCTTCAGTGATAATCATTTTTGTGCCTTTAAGTTTTTTCTTGTTAAAATATATTAAGCTTCTATGAAAGGAGCTATCAAAGGCAACTATAACAGCTCGACATTTCGAGCTTCTTGCCGTCCCAGCACGATTATTTTTAAAAATGTCGTGCAACTTACGTTCCAATAAATCAGAAATACATTCAGGAATGCCATAAACTCCAAGTTGATTTAGTTTAGAAGTCTGTTCCAGCTCATCTATTTTCGCACTCATATCTTCCTGGTCTTCCCATAATTGACAACCTTTTTATCGATATTGTTAATCTTCCTTGATAATTCCTCAATTTGTTCACTCATTTTTGCGTAAACTTTAGTAACGAGTTTAACAACCAGCATATCTTTGAATTCTTTGTGGTGCATGATTTCTTTTACAAGGTCCTTTTCCATATCCTGGGTAATGTTTTGCAACTAGGTTTTTTGCCTCTCAGTAAATACCATGTTTTTGTATATTCAGATTCCGTCGATCGAATAATACAATCAAATTGCACTTGTACAACAGTTAATGCAATTTTAAAACTCACTACTCTGCTGTATGCAAGTTACACAACACACTGTGTAAAAATTAGCTGGAACAATAACGTTTAAGCGGACTGAAACTATGAAAATAACTGGAACTGCGTAGACACGTCTTCACTCGTTGAAGGTAGACATAATAGATTAGCGGTCAGACAGACACACAGACACGGACCAACAGAAATTAGTGGCGTTTTTTTTTGTGATGTACATGTCATATAACATTCAAAAAGCATAGCACAGTTTCGAAAATTATCGCGATTACAATTCGTCCCCACCAGTAGGCGTGAGAAGTGAAAATAAAATTTTAATGCTGCTAAGGTTACTAAATATTCTTTAAACGGCCATTAATAAAATCTCATAGCGTATGAGGAGATTTAAAGCTTGTCCAGTGCGAAAAAACAATTTTTGGAATTAGCGAGGGAATTTGTGAGCATGTCACATTGAGGCACCGCCTTAGAGATCCGACGTGTGGTACCTCCACGTTTCATAGTCTCAGATCATCATTTGTTTAAAAACACTGTTCAAATGATGTGCTACACAATTTTGAGCCTGGCAACATGTATATTCATTAGTAGATAAATTATGCAATAAAAACCAAACAATATTTTTACTAATGGATGCGAAGATATCTCCTGGACTAATGATACTCGAATCTTGTAATATTAGTGGTCATATATCATATATACATATAAAACAAATATCCACAGATATCCTCTTCTTTAAGCAATCAACAAAAGGTAAATTAACATTTTTAATAGCTTTGATATGGAATCCTATACAAGATAAACTTTAGCAAGAGATTGATTGCACCATTTGAAGTTATATGAATGGATTAAGAAGTATTGTAATATGTGTTTTTACAGCAAAATGGAAAACTTACCATTTCTGAAGTACAAAATTGTAACACTTCAAGTAGAGGTACAGTGCTGGTATTGCCAAAAATTTGCTGCAAATAACAGTTGTTGAGATCAACAGATTTTACAAAACAAACCCCACATTAAGTATACTAACCTGTACACAATTTGGCATTGTTGATTTTATGTTATAGTTTAATACAGCATATTTTTTATCTTCTATGGTTACCAAGCAAGTCCTACATATTTTTTTAGGCATATGGTATACAGGAAAATTAGCCAATACACCCTAAAATAAAATGCATACATGATGTTTAAGAATTTCAATAACATTTTTGAAATTATTTATATTCTAGTAAAAGTAAAATTCCTACCTCTCTGTCTATGTGAAAATGCCTTTCACAAAACCAAATATTCTGAAGTGAGAAATCAAATTTTCTACCTGCAGCAGCTAACCAAAAATCTCTCAATACAGGATCTGCAGGTAATGAATAAAATGTTTTCTTAAGAAAATGATCAGAAGTAGAATTACATTCTGGTACCCAACACTGTATCTGTGGCATTGTGCCTAGCTTAGCAGATATACTTTTTTGTGGGATTTGATCCAATAGTACTGGTTTTCTTGGATTATCCATTGTTACTAAAAGGCAGGAAGTCAAACACAATAAATATTATTTGATCACATATTTTAATGTCAAGTAAAATATAGGGCAAAAATTGACTATGATAAGCAATGCCAAAATATACCCAATTAAAATATGTATTACATAGGTGCCAGACAGGGATTGAAGATACTAGTGTCATCTGTGAGACAGTAGTAGAAACAAAACTCAAACTCTTTCCGAACTTAGGGCCATATCATCAGTTATTCCTACATTTGTAGGATGCATTTATAGCCTCTTTAATTTTCATAGTTTTTCCTGTCCTTCAGAAAGGCAGGAGTATTTCCAGATTTCTACTGTTTTGTTAAAGTATTTTGAGGTTATATTTTCTTTTTGAATCCTAAGAAATTTCAGGCTGATAAAACTTGATTTTTATCACACAAAACAGTAGACATCTAGAAATACCACAGCCTTTCTGGAGGAGAAAAAAGACTATGAAAATCAAGGAGGCCATAAAGTGGTAATACAATTGTAGGAACATCTGATGATACAAATTCATTTGTGGTTCTGCTACTATCTCATAGAAAGCGCTACAATGGTTGGCTATATTCAGGTAGAATATATTAAGCAATGGTTAAAATATTGCTATTGATTATTACTGATGGCAGCAAAAATTACAATCGAAGACTATAATTCAAGAACTAGTTAAGTCCATTAGATTTAAGTTCTCAAGCAAGAAACAAAAATTGTTGATACCAATTATGAGTAGAGAAGGATTTAACTATGAGTTAGTATAAATCTTATAAGATTGTAGCCTTGTTTCTTCCAATGAGTAATACATAATTTTAAGCAATGCAGAAACAGGTAAATAATAACTCAATTTAGTTAGAAGTTATTCCTCACTAGCTCTTGCATTGGTGTCTTCATCTGATATTGAGCAAGTTTGACATGCTACCACTGGTATAGTTTGATACATTTCACAAACTCATCTTTTTTGGTGCCAATTACTACCCCCTTTTAAACGGATGCAAAAAGGAGAGGTGTTATAAGTTTAACATGTGTAGGTGGTAAGCATGTGTGGCATTAAAGCTCCCCAACAAATGAATTTAAGTGTTTTTTCAATCAAAAGTATTGTATTTCATAATCATCTAGAGCAAATATCAGTGCTGTAGTAAACTGGATAAGACTGATCAAGAGGCAGAAAGTGACATGATACATGCACCACAAATCCAATTGCGGATGATGACACTTCCATACAAGAATGACCAAATTGAGAATGTAAACATATTTTTCTAAGCTGATCAAAGAGATTTGGTTTCAAACTTTTGAAGATCTTTGACTGGGTCAATGAGGGGGAAAAGAGTGGCATAGGCATTAAGATCGTGTCCATGGTTTTAGCATCACACATGATCAAATATTTCACATTGTAATCTGTTCCAAGTATAGCAGTTCATTAAAGTTGTTTTCATACTTCACTGCATTTACAAAATTTTACAATTATATTACAAGATGTATTCCATGGGGAATTTTTTTGCGCAAATCGAGAATCTGTCTATTACGATTTTTTTGCAACAAAGTGTAATATATCCTATGTAACTTGATATTATCTTACCTTCACAATTTTACAATCATCCTATTATATGATAATTTCAGGATACAATGAATGAGTATCAAGTATATGCCCTGCATGAGGAAGATCCAAAGATCACACAAAAAGCAGTTCAAGACAACTTTCACACTTCAGAATTTATCAAAGTGTAATGTTAAGACTGTTACACTGCCTTATTGGATTTAAAAAATTACAAATACAAACATTTTTATATAAAGCAAATCAAAACAGAAGACACCACACACGTGCCATTGTGCCACACACCACAACACAAAACAACTGAAGGTTTAATATCCCTGGGTTTAATTCCATGCTATTCAATGGCAATACGGTGAGTTTGAGTTATGTGGTTGTCAGCGGCCATTTTTTGAGGGTACGACACGGTTGCCAGATTGTGCATTAATAGACCCCAACGTTGCGAGCTCTACAGATCTTATAACAGCATGTTGTGTTATTAACATTTTGCGCTATCTTGACGAATATTCGTGATTTTTTGTATATTAAAATAGCAACGTCAATTACACTAGCTGTTATAAGATCACTCATATCTATTGATCGACCAGCCAAAGATTGCTAGGGACGAAAGGGGGAAATGCGATGAAAAAACCTTACCATTAGACGATTTTATATGGAGTCATAGGCGGAGATCGGAGAGACTTGAATTATTAATTGAATTTATATTTTATTACAACTGGTAGTATTAATATTTTTTTGCGATTCATAATGACGTGATACCAAACATACATTATAAGAAATAAATATACACAAACACTGAATATTGAGAACAAAATAAATATATTTTTTAGGCAACAAGTAATATTCCTATGTACGCATTATGATTGAACAGCAAAACAAATTATGCATTCTTCTAAAATAGAATACAACAAGTCAAAAATATCTGACTGAATAGAAAAATATAGGAAAACAAAAAGTAATTTCTTGATGAAATAACCCATAAACAACACATAGAATTAGACTTTCTACTGAGATACTAAAAGCCACAAACCAATAGTATAATAAATGAATATCTAAAAATTCTAAAAGGTAGCCAATCTAGTATAGTTTCAATCCTGATTAGAGTCATGATCACTGTCTGAGGAACTGTCATTGCTATCACTTTCACCTCCTATGTTGATTATTATTTCTTCCTGTATTTCTTGAATGAGACTGTCTTTTTCCCAATATTCATCTTCAATTTTTATAACATGTCCAATAACCTTTTGCCAGTCACTGGCACTTACTGAAGCGATGGCCTTATTAGAAATTTCATCTAGCTTTTTTATAGTAAATTCGCCGCTTGTATTATGGCTTCTAATGAAAAATTTTACTTGTGCCCAAATCATCTCTATGGGATTAAACTGACACATATAGGGTGGCGTTCGAAGTGGGGTGTGTCCGAAACTTCTTATTAAATTATCTATCTTATAATTTTTCTCATCAGATGGTGGCCTATGTAGACAAGCTATTTCATAAAGCTCCATTTTTTTAGCATTAGGATCATGCTCTATACCTTTTTTGCTCAACCACGTGATGATGTCTCTTTTTAGAGAAGATCTAGTTGGAGGCTTGTCTTCCAAAGCTGAATGGTAAGGTGCATTATCCATTATTATAATACTATTAGGAGGAATGTTAGGAAATAGTTTTTCAGTAAGCCACTTCGTGAAATTTTCTTGGTTCATTTGACCGTGATAATCACCAGTGGCACAGCCAGCCTTGAAAATGAGACAGGCTCCAGGAACAAAACCATCTTGCGAACCCGCATGAACAATTATAAGTCGTCCTGGAAATGAATAAATAGCCTCATTTTAGTGTTATTTTAAGTTTGCCAACACCTTTTTGAATCACTATGTATAAAAAACATATTTTTGAGAAAAAAATACTTGCAAGGGATTATGTATTCAATTAGACAAATTAAATGAGCACTTATTAAGAATATTCCAAAATTGAGAAAAATGTATAATAAGCAAAATCGAGGTGAAAGAAACTTTATTACCTGTAGAACTTATATTGCTCAGGACACCCATAATTTCTTCGCTTTGCCAGCATTTCTTGAAAGTGAGGTCATTATCAACCCAAGTTTCGTCCAAATAAATAATATGCCTTCCTTCTTCCCGGAACTTTTTAATAGACCTAAGATACTTGTATCGCCAATGTAAAATACTGGGTCTTTCCATTAGTAATTTCCTTTTGTTGTGGCATTTACGCCAGTAAAATCCTTTTGCTTTTAAAAGCAGCCTCAACGATTCTTTACCAAATGGAAATTCCATTTCTTCCTTCAGTTTGATTAGAAGTTTACTACAAGTAGGTACCACTTTAAAATCACAGTAAAATTTTTCTATCATTCTCCGAATAATGGAAAAATCGACTCCATCAATTTTTTGGATCACAGAAGGGCGTGATCTCTTTTTTCCGGGAGAAGCTAAAGGCTGTGTGGAGGTTGCATTTTGCCTGTCTTTATCTTCTTTTCTAATTTTACTTATAGTTCGTTCACTAACACCCGTATAATATGCCGCCCTTGCATTTCTAGCTACCAGTGGATAAACGAAAGTATTGTTAGCCGCTTCTGCATCGCAAGCACGTATCACGTTTGCTATTATTTCCCTTGCCTGGCTGTGAATAACTTTCCCATGCTTGAATTCCATTATCACCACTAAACAGTAAATTATATTTTCAAAGTATTTGCCAACTGCCTACGCCTATGGGAGTAGGTTTATAAATGACCGTGCCATCGGCACGTTATTCTAGTTTCAGATAAGATAAGAGTTTTGGACCAATCAGCGACCGGATGTTTACCTGCGGCCTGGGTTTTCCAGCTACATTGCCAAATTCAGCGGAACAATTCTATATCTTAAATATGTTAATATGTATGGACCGCATTTTATGTAGAACATCTGACAACTTCGCAATTTTTTGTCCGCATTCTTTCGGCTTGCAATCTTTCGCTGGTCCAACATTACTTACTAATCTGGAAAGTTTCAGAAGAAAAGCATATACTGCAAATATGTACCTAAACATATTTATTATATAAATCTCATATATTTTTCTACAAACAAATCAGTATTAACATTATTATGGTCCAGATGTTTTCATTCCCCAGCCTTTGTTGGCACCTGCATAAGTCAAAAATTAGGAAAAAATTGAACTGTGTTGATATGTTACTACAATTCAGATTTCTTTTTTTATTAGAACAATAATATTATTTTACTTGCCCCCAAAATTTTTTGATGAGCGGAGCAGCATAAAACCATGCTAAATATGCAAATTTTAAAGTCAAAGTGGATTCACAGAAAAGACCATGGCCCATCTGAAACCGCCTTGTGGGCACCCCTGTTATTGTTCAATAACATATGGCATCGATTTCATTGAAATTATAGTGAGCTTAAAATGAAGCATGGTAACTATTTTGGACAAAAAGCAGTATAAATCAACACTGGTTATTGAGTCATATAACTATATATATAACTTACAAATATTATGGTCTGCAAATATCCTTCAGAGCTGTGCGTTCTGGTTAGATCACAAGTAACTTCTGATAATTCTCAGGACCTCAATGGTTGACACCGGCGGTTGAACCTTTTGTAGTGCTCCACTGTTCAAAAAGTTATGTGGAGATTCCAACAGGTATGATCTTCAAATATTACACTCCTCAAATGAGTAACCGTTGCATCTCTGATTTTCCTCAGCATCTGCAGAAGCCTGGCTAATGACTGGGAGATCATTTTGGATCACCTTAAAAAAGAAGCAGTTTTGATTTGGAGTTTGTCTTATATTATTAACAAATATATTAAAGTTTTGGGTACTTAAATTTTTACACTTCACAACTCTGAACAAAAGCATATGTCTCAAATAACATAATAGAGACTTTATTTAATCAAAATAAAATGTTTATGACTCATAACGAAAATGGCTTGCGGAAAAAGTAAGGTTTATTTGTGCAAAGCACAGCCACAGGAAGAAACCCGCCGGAAATTTAAATATGACCAATCAGACGTCAGTTGTGAATAAGCCGCCATTTTTTGAGGGTGCGACATGGTTGTCATATTGTGCACCCGCAACACTGCTTTGTTTCCGATTCGCTCATATAGTGGATACCAAATAAAATCCGATGCACGTCATAGGTGATGTCATTCATAAAAATCATGGTTACCAACAGTTGACTACATTCAATGTGACATTTCTACTTGAAGTTTAAATTTCCCCGTCTCGATTCGGTTGGTAGTGCCGTGCAGAGAAATGTGAGGTTGCCACTTCTCATTTGTTGACATCAGTTGCCATTGTCCTTTTGTCGTACTATTAGTTCTTTATTGTTTAGTTTGTGAGTTTTGCGCTATTTGAGATTTGAGTCGTTGCCTTGCCAATTAAAAATTGTTCTTTTCAGAACAACAGTTACTGTGAAGTGGTGTAAAGTATCCAAAATGCCAAAACAACTTAACAGTCGGTGTAAAGAGCTCATATCATTGAATATCTACCAAAATCAGGTGTTTTTATTCAGAAAGGAATTTAATTTTACAACAAGTTTATTTATTTTTAATATAATGGTATTATAGTAAATGGTAGGTATATATAAACAATTTATTTTATTAAATTTATTTGCTTAAAAGAAAATGTGCAAATTCTGGCAACAGCGCACAGCTCCAGATCGATGACGTGCATCGGGTTTTATTTGGTATCCACTATATGAGTTTCGCCTCCCTGCTATCAAAGGCACAAAACCAATACATGACATGGCAGCGTTGCCAGATGGATCAGACAGGATTCTCCCAGAACAAGCACAAAAATCTCCTGGATTTAGAATGGTTTTGTGAATACTGCTCACCGACAACATTCACTTTTCTAATTTGCGGACAGCCCCTAGTTTGACCCAAAAAATTCATTTCACAAAATAATGGAAGTTTAATGTGCTGTGAAAATGCCAAAACAAAAATGGCCACAAGAAAAAGAAGTGCTCCTAGATCAAGCCCATCTTTATTGAATTGAGGGTCGTTAGTAAGATATGTTTTGTTTCTAAAACTCTAAGACGTATTCCTGTGAATCCAATCTTTAATTATTGTAAGAACTTATTTGATATTACCTCAGTTCAAGTATCTGTGATCTCGAATCAACGGCTTAATTTCAAGAGCAGATGTGCTCTTAACATCTATACCAAAGGGAAGACCTTGTCAACCATTGTAACGACTTAGGTACAATACTTCAAAAAGTTAAAAACAGTGGCATACAGCCTTCCGAACTGTATGAAGAAGTCCAGCGCTTAAAATCCCGTTCACCAGACCCTGTCAATGACGCAATACAACTAATGCAGTGATTTTTAGAAAATAATTTGGAAGAGGTATATCCTAATGTTTGCATAACAATGACAGTCATGCTCACAGTTCCAGTCAGTACAGCTTGTACTGAGAGAAGCTTTTCAAAGCTAAAGCTGATCAAGACCTACTTGAGAAGCACGATGAGAAAAAAGAGACCATCTGTCGATTGCAGAGGAAATAGCGGCTAGTATTAGTTAAGAAACAATCTTGAAAAAATTCGGTAAGGCTAAAAACCAAAAAATCGTCTACTTTAATTTGTGTTTATTTGATGTTTAATTTTTATCAACATTTGGTTAGCAATAACATCTTACACCTACTAATAATATATTAGCGTATAGCTCGCCTCGTTCGGTTCAACGTTTTTTTTTGACTGGGAAACGGAAGAGGCCTTCAGGGCTGATGTCGCCGACGTCCATATATGGTTTAGCGCCGCGATTGCTCGTTAAGACTTAACATAGTTACAGTTTTTGTACGACGGTAGCGCTTGAATGCTAAACGATAAGGGCATACGCCATTTGGGGATTAGTAGTCTAGCCTTTTCTCCCGAAGCACGTGTGCTAGATCAAATGTTTTATCCAATGGACAGTTCATACTTTTTCTGGTTTTCTTAGTTCTGAGTATGGATGTAGGGGTCTACCAACTCACAATTGACAAAAAGATGTAGAAGTGGATCAGAGTAGATATTTTGTGGAGATAGGTCCGACCATGAGGAAAGAGAGAAAAATTGTTTTTCAGCAGTGGACAGTCTTGCGTGGCTAACAATATAGAATAGAACACCCGAAAAATACCCAAACAAAAAATAGAACAATATATTTCCCAAAACATTTCCAATGGAAGTGAAAATTCTCCAAATTTTGTAGAAATCCTACAATATAGCAACCCCGAGATACACGGATTAGAATTCTTAATCTTGAGCAGCAAATAGTATTGCCAGATCAAAAATGTTAAAAACTATTAAAGGCGGAAGAGAAAGACGGTAGATATTTGAAATATGATTGTGGAAAACATCACGGATGGAGGAGAGGGGTTGTGCGCGCAGCCCTAATAATACCTAATAAATTGGATTGGGTGCTTCCGCTCCCAAAATATAGCAATATGCTCACTTTTATTGAAAGCATGGTAAGCCTACACGTTTAGAGCGGCATGGATGATCGACATTTTTGCTAAAAAGAGATTAAGCCTTTTGTGTAGAGTCGTAGCGGGTCTCAAAATGGTAGATCGACTGTGAAACGGTAGATCCGGCATCACTGGCAGCCAGAGTACTGATATCCTGCCGTACGTGTCATTTACCTTGACGATGCGTCGTCATGTCGTCAATATTACCAGCGTTTCCTAGCCTACCGATTTTCTGGTAATTCTACCGAAATGAGACGAAATACCGAAAACGTCTTCATTTTTCACCATTTTTTAAAATGAAAGATATTTCCAGATTTTCTACTGAAAAAGAGCTGAAACCAAAAATAGCTGAAAAAATGAATTCTATGTCGTAGGCAATGTAATTTTATTACTCCTAACTATATTACAATCAAATTGTGTTTTTTCAAAGAGAACATGCTTACCCATCCTCACTATATTCCAATCAAAGTTCATCTTTTTTTCCAAATTCTAAAATATATTTGGCACTATTCTGAGGAGATAGGCATTATATGTCTGGCACCTTCTCAGTACTCCTTTCCAAGCTATCATGACAATTGACACATACAATTTGATCCTGTAGTTTCTTTCCTGGACCAAAAACACTCTTACTACCCGACCTATTAGTCGCATTTTTCATAACCATGTGCTCTTACTCAGTTGCTGATCATCTACAAGATCTTGCTATGGCTTTTGACGACATTAAAAATGATGAAGTGGCCTCGAACAATTTCTCAAAGTTCTGGCGAGAATCTACTGCGAAAAATAATGACATAATATTATCACATACAGCGTGAAAACCTGATTCTTTGAAGTTTCATTACTCCGTAGTTTATCAATATTATCCAATATTTCTGCTTGCAACTCCTCCGAACGACAAGTTTAATTGTCATAACTATAGTTGCTTACAGTTTAGGCTGCGGTCAGAGTGGCACCGTTTTCGGCCGAATGATTTGTCTGTCGTTTCGTTCGGTTCGAAGAAGATGGTCTGTATGGCTCCGTTTTCGGGGAAACATTTGAAAGGTTCTGCCATAGTTCTCTCTACTCGATAGTTAGCTTTTATTTTGCGTTTGTAGCAAAATGAAATTACATATGCTTTTATCTGCTGTAACGACTACCGCCTTAATGATGTTATTAATGAAAAAGAAGAAATATCACACAAACTATATTTTTCGCTACAGGACAAGATTTGGAGAATATCATACACTCTTTACGCAACCAGCAAAAATATTTGAGTATATCTATATATATCTACTTAGATTTTTCTAGGGCTTTCGATCGCGTACCACATAGAAGGCTTCTGTTTAAGTTGGAATGTATGGGAATAAGAGGCGAGTTGTTACTGTGGATTAAGGCTTTTCTCATCGGGAGGTCTCTCTCTATGCGCGTCAGTGATAGCCAGTCTCACCCTCATCATGTAGCAAGTGGAGTTCCTCAAGGCTCTGTCTTGGGGCCAGTGCTGTTCCTTCTGTATACCAGTGACCTGCCCGCATTGATTTCCTCCACATGTTCAGCTTATGCCGACGACACCAAGATTTACAATACTGTCGTAAATTCTGCTATGCTTCAACGAGATCTTGATACTGTTTGTCAATGGTCAGTCAGTTGGCTTTTACGCTTAAATCTAACCAAGTGTTGTGTCCTTCACCTCGGGAAGACAAATCCGCGATTTACATACAAGATCTCTGACCACAACATCGAAGCAGTTTCGAGCCACACTGATCTGGGCGTTGTAGTCAACGATCGTCTTTCCTGGTCAGAGCATATTCACCACGTTACATCAAAAGCCAAGAAACTTCTATATATGCTGGAGAGGTCTTTCAAAGGATCCGATGTCAAAACTTGCGCCTACATTTACAAGGCATTCGTTAGGCCAATTCTTGAATTCGCTGGCCCGGTATGGGACACTGTGCTTCTGCGCGATAGAAATCTCGTCGAATCAGTACAGCGTCGGGCTACTCGTATCCCTTTTGGAGCACGAAGACCAAGCTATGAAGATCGCCTTGAATTATTCAACCTGACCTCATTCTCCGAGCGAAGACTTCGTGGCGATCTTATAGTTACGTTCAGGATACTTCATGGTTTGATGGGCACCAACCTCATGCATCTATACCATCTGTCGCGCAGCAATCTACGCGGACACAGCTTGAAACTGCATAAGGAGCCATTTAAAACAACAGTCCGACAGTGGTTTCTTCCCAACCGCATACTCAACACCTGGAATAGCTTACCTGAAAGTGTGGTTGGTGCTACTTCAGTTAATAGCTTCAAAGTGCAGTATGATAGCTGGAGGAGTGTACAAACTTTATAGCTGTGAACTGTATTTTTTTTATTTTTTTCTATTTGATGTATTTGTGTTACGTGTCCGTACACTATATTTACTGCATGAGCTTATAGTACTGTGTACTCTGCTCATCTCAATTATCATAATAATAATAATAATAATAATAATAATAATAAGAGACAAGACGCTTTAACCGTGCTACAAGAGCAGCATATGAAATACGCGACACATTTAAACAATATTGCAACACTGCAGGAGCCATGTGCCATAGTAATGATTAATACTTAATAATATTCTTGTTCACTTTTTTATTCCAAACTGTTTATATTAAGAATATAATATCGAATACTTACTGACCTGTAGTTTGCATTCCTGAGGCAACTTGATTCCACAGTTTGCGTGTTATGTCTCTATTATGGTAGTTTTTATTTCTTATGTCCCACAAACTCTTTTTTTTCAAAAACTAGGCTAATTAAAATTTCATAGCATTTTTATGAAATTATTCGCATCAAAATGCACCGAAGCTTACGAAAAAACCAATTATTTTGATTTCGTTCGATGTCCGAAAAATTCGGCCGTACTTGTCAGCCGAAATCGGATGTACTGTGACCAAGTCAATAGAATACCAAGAAATTAAAACGATCGGAGGAATCGGGCGTACACGGTCGAAAAATTATTCGGCCGAAAACGGAGCCACTCTGAGCGCAGCGTAAAGAGTTGTTTAGTCATTTGTCCTCGTCATGATGACAGCACAGAGAAAAAGATGCCACATGCGCAGAACCTGAAATATTTTCTGCGCAGTGTACTCACGAGAAAGATGCCCTTTGCGCAACACCTCACTCACGTCATGGGCGATATTTTTGGCTACAACCCCACCGCCACCGCCACCACTCCATGAATTTAACCTGCGATCAGTGTTGCCAGAGCCAACATTGAAAATTCCGCTACTGGTTTCGAAAAACTCCGCTACTTTCCGCTACCCCGGTGATTATCGTCGGAGGGAGGGAGGTTGGCGCACTATCATAAAACAGGGGGGCATTTATTATACAGGTTGTGTCAAAAAAGGAAAACAATAACCAAACACCGTGATAAAATATAACATAAAACTGTAATAAAAAACATTTGACTATGAAAACCAATACAATATTACAAATAACTGTCAAACAACAGAACATTTATCACGAAGTCATATTAAAAAAATATCACAGGATACTAAAAAATAAAAAGCCATTTCTGATTTGCATAAAAAAAGTTTTTGAGTTACTTATACCTGGTCACTGTCTGTATCTTCTTGTTGTATTTCTGTTCTCTGTATACTATATAAATTATTTTTGTATTTTTTAAAATGTTTTTCACCAAATTCGAAGTCTAAGCAGCAACATTTATTGTATTGTATTGAGTTTGATAAGTATCGCGAGCAAACTTGGAGGTAAAATACGATTCCTTTTCTTTGTTTTGATTATCCCCATAGATATATGAGAATGTCCACTCGACATCTGTATTACCATGTGGCAAATGTTAAAATTATTAGACATACTTTGGAAATACACTTCACAGATTGTGTTCTTACCATCTACTACCATCTATATGCGTCTCCCTTGAATAAGAATTACCGACCCGTGGTTACCACTGTCGATTGGAAATAAACCTGTATTTAGATTTGGTTAGTAACTGCACTCAATTTTTTTTCTGGTAAAAATATCCATCATGTGTACCTAAGTTGCAAAATTCCGCTACTTTTAACAAAAAATCCAATTCCGCCGCTACGCCGCTACCACTTGAAAATTCCGCTACCAGTAGCGGAATTCCGCTACTTCTGGCAACACTGCCTGCGATTTGACGCAGTAACTGAATACTGAACTGACAGTACTGACACGTGCCATTGTGATGACGCGACGCTGACAAATTAGTCAACAAGTGATAAACAAAACACAACATATCGAGATAAAATAGCAAATTAGAGCTACAATTCAACAAAAATAGTATGCAAATCAATTTAACATACCTTTTACAAAGTGCGTTCAGTGATAAAAGATGAATAATTTGTGTTCGAAGTGATTCTCACCCTTTCAAGGTTATGCGGTGTTAGAATCTTTATTTTTTATCTATTATCAGCCTAATTTGAGCTTGCTTTTAATCCCTGGAGATCTGTATGTTTTATATTTGCAATATTATCTGGTACGGCTACAGGTATTTAGCCAGAAAATTTAAAATGAGCTTATATAATGATATTCCATTGGGAGTGAGTCTTTTACAGAAATTGTCAGATAAATGTTGTCCCAGGTTGCATTTCAACAAAGCTTTAACGTGAGTAATGAAAACCATTAATATGTAGCAAGTGTTATACTAAACATGGATTATTATTGTAGTTATCAAGTGAGTGTGTTATTTTTAACATACATTGCATACATCTGCTACCACTTATCAAGAAAGCCCATTTCAGTAGTGAAAGCAGTGTTACATAGGAACTGTAGTGCTTTGCCAGCTCCTTCTACTGATGAACCTAATAATTGGTGTGATTGGGCTCCATTTGGTAAGAAAAAACATTATTACTTTACCTTATATATTCTTAAGAACCATTATTACTTTTCAGAATAAGTTTCTTCTTCACTTAATCATTTTTAAAGATTGATTGATTGGTACCTCCTTAATTTTAAGACATTGTCTACCACCTAACAAACAAACAATAATGGTATCTGATAGGCTTAGAAAAAGTATAATACTAATAATGAATAAATATGGGTAGTAGCAATTTAGAGAAAAGGAGTAGTACATTTGTCACTTTTTGAGAGGAAGCATGTTTGCATTGGGATTATAAATATGTATACTATTCTTTGAGTGTGCATCAATGTTTCCTATGCCATGTATTTGGTCGATTGGAATAAATTGATTATTATTATCATTATTATTATTGATATATATATATATATATATTTTTATATATTATTGTTTCCTTTTTCAGATGGGTCTGATTCCAGTGCAGCTCAAATGCTTGGAGAACTTGACTCTGCATTTTTGTTTTGTTATGCAATTGCCATGTTTGCATCTGGCTTCATTGCTGAACGTGTCAACCTTAGGTACTTTCTAAGTATGGGTATGTTGCTGTCTGGATTATTCAGTTATCTGTTTGGACTTGCAAAGACATACAATATACACCATTTGTGGTATTATGTTGTTGTTCAGGTAAGAGTTTTTTTGTCAGGTTTTAGATAATTAAAAAAGTTGATCTAAGGTAGGGATGCACCAGCTATTACTAAAATGCTCTGATATTCTGACTATATTTGCATTTTTGAATGGTCCCAAATTGATTTGCCTTTTTACCTTTCTATAAAGTAAATGTCACAAGGAAAAAATTTATACACCTTCAATGATTTTTTCTGGGTAGGTTGGTATATTTATGGTATTTTTAGAAGTTTTGTTTTTTATTCAAATATTCGAGAGTCTTTCTGTAAAACCAGGTACTTGGTAAAATGGGCAATGGGCAGAGTACCAGTGCATCCCTAATCTAAGGATTTGAACTGAACATAATTATGGAATAGACTGGAAGAAAATGTACTTGTTTTAAATGACTATCTGTAATTCACTATTTACTTTGCTTGTATTTGTACAAATATATTTAATAACTGAGAGAGGTATTGTATTAATATTACTTCCCCTGCCAAATAGCAAGGAAATGTTGTGGCAGTGTTATAGGCAAAAAACGATAAAATAGAAAACACTGAAGCCTGGTTTTTCAATGTTTGAGTGACTCTTTCCCATTTTCAGAGATTTTTTTAGAAGGGTTAAAAATTGGGGGTAGTTTTAGTAGTATTGCTGGCAGAGAGGCAAAGCCTGGCAACCAGGCCACTTATGAATTTTCATTTGCTACTGGCTGCATGCACCTACCTGTGATAATAAGGAAATTACAATTTTAGAAATCATGTTAAGTCACAGACTGAATGAAAATTACCAATATTATTGCCCTCTATCTCTGAGGTACAGAAAGGTATCTTTTGCTATAAATGGAAGATGTTATATTATTAGACATACTATCCACACACATTCATCAAGCATTTGCCATTGGAACAAATATGATTTATTTCCTATAGTTTGAGATGTCAAGTATTATATTGACTTATGTGGACGTACCATTATGGTCTTTTGAATAGACCTGATCCACTATTTATTTAGAAATTTTGCAATTTGGAAATTTAAAAAAATGTTAAAGTCAATTTACTTGATTCCTTTTTTTTAGGGATTGGCAGGGGTGGTTCAAACTACAGGTTGGCCTGGGGTGGTAACTGTGATGGGCAACTGGTTTGGCAAAAATAAAAGAGGCCTAATATTTGGTATATGGAACTCCCATACAAGTATAGGTAATATTCTGGGGTCACTGATTGCTGCCTATTATGTGGAGCAAGATTGGGCTCTATCGTTTATGATGCCAGGATTGTATATTGGTGTAGTAGGATTTTTGATATTTTTATTCTTGGTAACAAATCCTAGTGATGTAGGGCTTACTCCAAAGACTGCTTCACCAGAAAGGGAAATTCCAAGGGTAAGTCTAATTGAGATGTTTTTGAAACATACATAATTTTATTCATAGGCTATTAATAGATATTTCAATCATTTGGAAAAGAATAAATGTATATACAATTACTACTAGCAGATAATCTCAAACTTTTTCTTTGACTTCCAGTGTAAATGCAAATGAACATTTTTACTGCATCTTTGATTAAAATAGCTGTGTTAAATTTTGAAAAAAAATTTATTGTGATACCTCAGTATTAATAATGGGCGTCCACGATCAACGACATGAGTATGCTAGGGGGGCTCCCTGTGCATCCTATTGCTTTGGTTAAGCATTCAGTTGCTTTAGAAACAACTTGCCAGCGTTTTTACTTCAGACTACTTTGTCCATATACATAACTTTTTCAATCTAACATCTGCAATTTATTACAGATTTTGTTATGTAGTTTGACTGCTGTTTGACGTGGTTGTCAGAATCACTTAGGATATAAATTGGTCAGAAAAATTCAAATGTTTCCTAGAGGATCATGTTATAATGCAGACTGTCATCAAAGCTACATGTATCTCATTGACTTCAACAATGGGCGACCATAATTTACAACAGAATAATAATATCCTCTCGGTAAAATTATTTCGGCACTACAATTCTATGAACCAGTGATATTGACGGAATGATCAGTAAAGACTGATCTTAGTACATTCCATAGAAGATACTGATCATATGAAATTTGCCTAAATGGACTGATCTCATTTGTATGAACAGGAAATATTTGGAGAGAGTCAAAGTTATAACCAGATGTTATCAACACATTCCATGTCTTACATTTAACAGTGAATATTCACAACAGTTTTTTGTTTGGGAAATAGTTGTAACTCCTTTATATCATTGATTTGATTTTTTTTATTACATGTCATCTGCAAATGTGTTAATCATTCTTTCAGTCCAGGACGCGGCCAAGAAACTCTGATAATGATGAAGTGGAAAGCACTGGCTCAGATGCGGATGATTCAGCAATATTCATAGGAGAACAGGTAAGATTGATGTTTATGGCAACGTAACATTTTGGGCATTTTTATTACTGTAAAAAATATAAAATTGTAATATTTGTATCAATATCATTTTGATATTTTAACGTTATGGCCACGAATGAGTCCAACTTTTGAGGAGACATTTTTTTTGAGATTGTATTTCTGACCTGTATTCTATACCTTTTGAGTCATCTTTGATATGATTTAATTAATCAACAAAATCGTATGTTGATTCCTGAAGCTCACATAGGTATGCTATTTTATTTCTTTTGAGAAATTGGGGATACCCAGTTCTAAAAACTTGTAAGGTCCACATCAGTTTTATTTATGTTATCACCAAATATAGGCTTCCCTATCCATATGGAATTTACTTGCTCATCAACATTTTATTTAGGTCTTTATTGCGTTATTTCAGAATCAAGGATCTTTGTTTTTTGCTTATAGTCTCTGTTTTACATTATTTCTTTTGTGGACATGTAAATTCGCTACCCCTAGGTCATTCAAACAAAAAAGCTGGCCTACTTCGTATTTCCGCATTCATTTCATTTTTATTTTTGTTTTATAGGGATCACTAACCCAGTCACGTTATTCAATCAATACCAGTGTAAGTTTTATTTCAGTTTAGCAATCATGCGTTTTTAGTGCTGTGTTGTTTGTCTGTGTTATTACGGGGGCTTATTCATTTTCATACTTCATTATATTATGCATGGTTCATTTTTTTGTGGTCATAATTAGCCATATGCGGGTTGTATGAATATACACGTAGTATTCGAATATAAAGGGTTTCAGAAAAACGTGGCAATATTTCTAGGGCATTAGGAAGACTTAACACCAGATGCTCATATAAAAATGGGTCCTAAAATGCCCCCTTAAAGGGTGTTGACACTATAATTTTGAAATCTAGACAAAATATATATCTTCGGAATGGATAAGACAGTGTTTCCCAAAGTGCTGCGGCTCCGTCATAAGGGCGCCGCGAAATATTCAATCAAACAATACGCCAATTTGCTTGGATTTTACATTTATCGAAAGTTGGCGCCAAAAATCGTGTATGCAAAAAGTCAAGAATTTAGAAAAACATCTGATGTGTTAAGGGCGCCGCGGATACAATCCGATTATTTAGGGAGTCGCAAGCCGAAAAAGATTGGGAACCTCTGAATTAAGATATTAACTCAAAATTTTATGCATGTAGTACCATTACATACAAAAATGTTCATGCCTTACCGTGAATTTATCAGTTTCTTAGAAATTGGGAAATTTTGATCACTACAGAAGAAAAAAGAATTTACTTTTCTACGCGATCAACTTTTTTGGGCGTACATGAAATAACGAAAAACCATGTCACTCATTTCTGTCGGTCTGTCCGCTAATCACTGGAGCGTCTATAACTTGGTACTGCTCGGATCTGGATGAAATTTTCTCACATGATTACTACTATGCCAAGGACGAAAAAGCTTTGTAGTTTTTGAAAACCGGTCTGTTGGCGGCGAAGCTACTGGGCAAAAAACCATAAAAAATAGAATTCGGTCATATTTCGTTTTTTTTAAAGGCTCACGATCATTTCCGGAAACATTTTTGTAGGGATAAAAAATTGAGAATAAGGGGTTGTAGGGGGTGAGGGAGGGTATGTCTCAATTTTTGAGAGCTATTTTGGATACTCCCCCAAGCTGTTATTCTTTCTTCATATCTATCAGGAAGAAAGCAATATGTTGAATATGAGGGTGTCAAATCCATTGAATTCTTCCCAACCTCAGGGTTACCTCAAGGCTCCTGCTTAGGTCCTTTTTCATACTGTTCATAAACGATATTGTTAGCGACATCGACAGCAGCTACTTAATCTATGCTGATCATCTAACAATTTTTTCCAATGTCGACTGCAGCACTGACTGTGCTCGCTTACAAAAAGACCTAGTCGAAATAGTTAAATGGTGTGCTGTAAATCGACTTCCAATCAACTACAGTAAACGTAGTGTTATATCTTACACCAGAAAGCTGCATTTGACTACAAAATTGGCAATCATTCTCTGCTGAGAGTAAAAGAATGCAAGGACCTGGGTGTAATTTTTGACATGTCACTTAGTTTCAATCCTCATATTGAGTACCTTATTAATGCTGTCAACAGATTATTAGGATTTGTAATACGTAACTCAAAGGAATTAAGTAACAAAGATGCGATGATTATGCTTTATAATTCATTCATACTGTCTAAATTAGAATATGGACCGCTAATATGGAATCCATGCTATGTTACAACTTGTGACTCTCTGGAGAAGATTCAACGGACATTTCTGAAATTTCTTTCATTCAAAATTGACGGTACGTACCCACCTATTGGGGTCCCACAGGAAGTCCTGTTACGTAAGCACAAGTTTACCAGTCTTGATAAAGATAAAGTAGTGCATAGCAGTTACAATTGTCCATCATTTCTAGCACAGATTAAATTTAATGCTCCAAAATTTGTTACTCGCAATACACTCACTTTTTACCTACCTACCCCATGAACTAACTTACTGTTGCACTCACTTTTGTACTCGATGTGTTCATGTTATAATAGTCTACAGAGTACATTTGATTTGTTCAATACAAGTATTTCGAATATTAAGAGAGTTAGCTGTGAAATTTGAAATGAAATCTTTATGTTTTTTACTATTTCTATTGTTGTTTTGCGACCAGTAATTGGTTAACATTGTTGGTGGTGGATTTCAATAAATACATTTTTTCACGTTGGTATATTTATACGCCTCCAACCCCGGTAATTCTGCGCACCTATTAGATATATCTAGCTCATCATAGATTTCCCCGTGCACTTACCTTTGGAACTAGGAAATATCTCCAACAGTCGCTTCCATACTGAGGAGGGAAGTGGAGGGTCATTTAACGGCAAGAGAAAACTTTGTGTTACAGCGTACCTGCCTTCAAAACTTTTTGAAGAGCGGGGGTCGCACATATATTCAGGGGGTCTTAGAAACCCCGAAAATTGTACACAAAGCATGCTAAATATACAAATTTTAATTGTATGTGCTGGTTTGATTGACTTGATCAATCTAATTTGTTGTTATACATGTTCATAGCTATGATTTTTCTTGGAGGGGCTTTATGAACTGATGACAGTGCTCCGTGGGAAGTAAAAAATCTATCTATTTGTCGCCATCTTTTGAATAAGGTATTTCATAAGACATTTTTATCAGACTACTCCCTTTGGAGAAAAATTGGTTTGAATAATTGAGGTAAAATCGATTTAAAAAACTTCGACCCGTTTTAATTAAAAAATACGCTGAAGTTGATGATGTTTGATGTTGAAAATTGTATGTAAAATATAGTGTATTAAGAGAGTAATCCTAGCTCGAAATTTGGCAACATCTTGCTTTGACGTTTAAGGTGGCACGGTTATCATTCCTCGATGTCTGTGTTCTGTCATAGTCACCATTTTACCATGGAGCGCTACATTGTGCAAGTACGCGTAGCAATTGTTAAAAGCTATTATAAAAATTCGTGTTCTATTCGTCAAGCTTTTCGCGAGCTACGAAATATTTACGGCCGAAATAATCGCCAAATTCGAGCAAGACGGTTCGGTTGCAGATCGAGCAGTTCTTATAAGAGGCAGAAACGCGCGGTCAAGCGAGAATATTGTTGCAGTTGCCGAAAGTGTAGCTGAAGACCAAAACCTTTCGATTCCACGTCGTTGCCAAGCAATTGGCCTTTCTGCGACCTCGACTTGGAGAATTTTACGAAAACACTTGGGCAGGGATCCATATAAGATCCAGTTGGCGCAAGAACTGAAGCCCTAAGACCATCAAGCGCATCGTACTTTCGCTGATTCTGAAAATCATTTTCACTAATGAAGCACATTTTTGATTAAACGGCTTCGTGAAAAAACAAAATGGTAGCATTTGGGGAGACAGTAAGCCAGAGTCTCCATTGCATCCGGAAAAACTTACTGTTTGGTCCGTGGGTTCTGGTCAGGGCCGTACATATTCCGAAACGAGAATGGCGAGACGGTGACTGTCATCCGCGCCCGGTATCGGGCCATGATAACAGACTTTTTATGACTTCAACGACATGTGGTTCCAACAAGACGGCGCAACGTGTCACACATCGGGCATTACGTTGCAGTTGTTGCAAGAAAAGTTTCCAGGACGCGTTATTTCCAGAAGAGGCGACGTGTAATGACCGGCAAGATCGTGCGACTTAACGCCCTTAGACTTTTTTCTCTGGAGTTCCGTTAAGTCGCTGGCTTATGGCAACAAACTAACAACAATTCACCAGCTGGACAACAACATCATTCAAACCATTGGTGAGATCCAGCCCGACTTATGCGGCAGAGTTGTACAAAATTGGACCTCTCGGATCGAGTCCTGTAAACGAAGCCGCGGAGGCCATTTGAATGATGTAATTTCTACAACGTAATGGTATTGAATGTACTTTAATACGCAATTAAAGTTTACATCATATGTCGCACACAACTCGTTTTATTCAATTTTAAATTTCAGACACACATAATGAAAAACCGTTTACTATGTGGCCCAATCAAGTATGTCCCTACATAAAAGCATAAAAAAAAGGATTCGGAACGCTTATTACTTTTGCTACAAGGTCCACAGCCAAACAGGATTCTGTAAAGTCTTTTCCTATTCCAATGTTTCCTTATTGTCTGAACATACACAACAAAATAAAAGACTAGGCGACTCTATGCGCCATACCGCAGTATGCGCAGGGATTGTAATTTTGTGTTTGTTCTTCCGGATATGATTGTTTGAAGCTTGTTGCTTGTGCAGAGGATATGTTTAACACATTCGTCTAATATTTGTAAAGTGCTAGGTATGGTAAGGCCGACATTCACGGTCGCTTCAAACATCACTCGCTGAATTTCCTAAAATCATACAGGCTGACTCGAAATTGATTTTAGACTGCGTAAATTTTTTCGTCCAAAACTCAACCCGCCCACACAAGATTCTGATCTCTATATCTATGATTGCGTTAAATTTGCCATAATGGAGCGAGCGTGAATGGCCAGCTTTATGCTTATACTCGTATACTGGAGATTATGACAAAAATATAACTCAATATTTTTTGTTGTTGTCATCACTAGTTACTATTTGAGGAACATTGATGTGCTTTACTAACCAAACACCAACTATATTGAGACGTAAACATCTAAAAGACTGCTTCTTTTAGGAAGTGCAACGTCGAGTGAGTGAAAGAACGCACTTACTGCCCAGGGAATCATCGCCTAGAGAAGCTGAGCAAGCTATCGGGTTCACAAAAGCTTTAAAAATACCGGGAGTTGTTGAATTCTCTTTAGCATTATTTTTCTCGAAGCTTGTCAGCTATACATTCCTGTTCTGGCTTCCCCTTTATGTGAACTCCTCCAGTGAGTAATTTTTGTAAATAAAATATTTTAGAGGGATATGTTGAATGTTGGGTACGGCCATTATCAAGCAGTTCACCTCGCCGCGATGCTTTTCATCATCGTTACTAAGATCGCCAGTGGACTCAGTTGGAAGCTATCTGTTTTACTTAACAATATGGATGACATATCCCCCATGTGTTTAACTGAGCGCGACTATGAAAGGGATAATGGAGTGATATACTGGGATGGCGAGGTGAAGTGTTCCATTATGTCCATACCCTTAGGTAGAAATAATCATATCATAGGCACCATATTTTATATTTAGAGAACAATTTAACTTAGAAGTTGATCGCAATCATGCTGAAGCTACTCGAACTGAAACGTCAGTCATTTCTTCATGATCTGTTGTGATGAGCACGATGTTATAAAAATATACAGGGTGTTCATTTGAAAACTTCCCACCAGGGATTTATAGAAAACCACTGATTAAGAGAAAAAACGCCGAGACACGTCAAAAGATTTGTCAAGGGGGATAACTTTTTAACCAAAAACTACGTCACCTTTCAGCCTCTGCCTTCCAGGCTCATCCCCTTAAAAATGTTAAACGAAAAGGGGTATCGAGTGATAGCTTGTTTGAAAGGTCTTTTGAAGTATGTACTTAATTTTGATGTTCGATTTTTTTAAATCGGTCGATTCGTTTTCAAGAAGATTAGAAAAAATCTTTATTTATCTTAATTTGTTCAGACAGAAAACAAAAACACGAAAATATCACTTTTTATTTCAATAAGTGTTCAAAATGTCGCCGGTTATTGGCATAACAAATTTGAACATCGCCTATAATGTTCAAATTCCTAACGGACATTTTTCGATTCGATGATGCGTTGAGGAAGTTCATCCAAACTTTCAGGTTGGGGAGTAACTACAATAGATTTCAAATGGCCCCATAGAAAAAAGTCTAATGGGGTCAAATCAGGAGATCTAGCAAGCCATTCTATAGGCCCTCTTCGTCCTATCCATTTATCTGGAAATTCGTCGTCTAGCCATTACCGAACCGGAAGAACATAGTGAGGAGGAGCGCCGTCTTGCTGCAAATATATTTCAGCCTCATTAAGTATAGGGTTCCCATCCTCTTCGATTTGGTTTTCAATGGTTTCAGTGATAAGCGGATCATATTTTCCAAGATATCCAAATAAATTTCTCCATTCAAATTTCCATTAATAAAAAATGGCCCAATCACTTTATTTTCTAAAATTCCTGCCCATACATTAATTTTTTTTTGGGTTATGGGTATGCCCTTTTACAAAAGCATAAGGATTTTCATTGTTCCAGTACCTGCAGTTGTGCTTATTAACAAATACCAGCCGCAGCAACAATTTTGCGTAATGAAGTATTAGGATTTATTCCAAAATGACCCAAAACTTCAACTTTAGCGGCTTCATCCAAAACTCTGCGATGATCACGTTTTTTATTTGCAACAGATCCAGTTTGAGTAAATTTAGTAATAAGGTCCAAACCATAATTATGCGAAGTTATCTTTCCCGGATGTCTTTCGTTAAACGTGACGGCAGTTTTCCGAGCACATTGATTTTGGGCACCATAAATTAGAATCATTTCCACTCTTTCGGCTAGTATGTTAGCCATTTTGGATGTAAAATTTGAATCAATAAATTTATTTTCACTATCCCTAGATTGTCACAAAGGTAGCTGACAGCAAATTAGATTCTTTCTTTCCCTTAGCAACAAATAACTAAACAGGTATCATAATAAACACAGTTCGCCCAGGATATCTGTGTTGATGAAAAGAATGCCGAACAAAATTCGGGTTGTTATTTGTTGCCACGTCTAATCTTCCGAATTTGTTGTTTCCGTTTTAAATTATAAACGAATTGCAGATTTGGCAAACCCTAACGGCCAACATTCTGATCGCTATTTGAAATAAAAAGTGATATTTTCGTATTCTATGAACTAATTAAGATAAATGAAGATTTTCCTAATTTTCTTGAAAACGGATTGACTGATTTTTAAAAATCGAACGTCAAAATAACGGACTTCGAAAGACCTTTCAGACAAGCTATTACTCGATACCCCTTATTTGAAATTTTTAAGGGAATGACTGGGGGGCCGAGGGTGAAAGGGGGTGAAGTAGTTTTTGGTTAAACAGTTGTCCCTCTTGACAAATCTTTTGACGTATCTCGGCGTTTTTCTTTTTGATCAGTGGTTTTCGATAAATCCGTGGTGGGAAGTTTTCAAATGACCAGATTAGTTATCAAATCACTAAAACTAATATATCTTTAGCTACAATGGGTGCAACGTTGAGCGCTGACCTGTCCACGTTATTTGATGTCGGTGGTATAGTCGGCGCTATCATGGCAGGAGTTTTTAGCGATAAAAGTGATATGCCTGCTACCACCTGTGCCGTTATGTTGATTTTAGCAGCTCCAATGGTAAGCATAAAATATTGATGATGGTTTAAAATAAAACGTCATAAGATGCGGTCAGTTCGATGTGACAATATATATAAACTGATATAATGAGAGACAAGGTACATAGTGTCTATCATTGTTTAGTATTCTGATAGAAAATGTCAGCAAAGTTGTTTAAGGCAAATATGCTAGTCCTCATCGACAAGAAAAGAAGCAAAAAAGAAATTTTATCGTTTTAGTTCATAGCTTACCGGTTACAATACAATATGCAATTAATAATTACTATGCCCTGTTAAACCAATAGTCTCTCGTCATTTTGGTGGTGCCTCTGACTGAATAACATTTTATGATATACTAAACCGTCATGGTTTTAGAGGTTGATGGATTTAGCTAACATTACTAGATTGATGTTTTTATCACGTTTAGATGATTCAATGAATAAGCAGCATATTTAAACAAATCGTATAAACTGTTTGATTAGTGTTTTTTCCATTACTAGGTGATCCATTTGAGTTATGTTTCAGATGGTTGTGTATGAAAGAGTGAGTAGCGTCAGCATAGGCGTGAATATGATTCTCCTAATTATGGTAGGAGTCTTAGTCAATGGTCCATATTCATTGATAACGACTGCTGTATCTGCGGAATTAGGAACTCATCATAGCTTAGAGGGGAATTCTAAAGCATTAGCTACTGTTACAGCTATTATAGATGGCACGGGTTCAATAGGTAAGTTTCAGTTGATTAGTAACATTTAGGTATATTTCTTGTAGTAAAAGCCTGAATCTCTAAGGAAGGGGTTGTGAGTGAGTGACTGAATGTTGCAAGTTTGACAGGAGATTGTACATTCCCTATGGCAAATGGCTCCTACAAGCATAACAATGTCTTGAGAAAATCGATAAATGCTTCTAACAGCATGCTAACTTGCAGTAGATCAGGTCAAAACAGCGTTGAATTTATATTACTTTACTAATCGACGTCTAAAGTGACCATAGGGTCGCGCTGTCGTTTATAGTAAAATTATATATATATGAATTTGTACAGGGTGGCCAATACATAACTGACTGATTTAAATTGCGCACCATTTTTGATATACACATTTCATTAGGTGGCGCCATAGTAGTTGTTTAAAGCACATCTATCCAATTCATCATGGAGCGCTACACCATCCCACAACACGTCCGTATTGTTAAAATGTTTAGGTCGAAATAATGTCGCAGTGTCAACACCATTCGTCAGTTGGTGCGCAAATTTGAGCAAACAAGTGAAGTTTGAGACTTGCCAAGGTCGGGCCCTGTTCGTACTCCGGAAGATACCGAGAGAGTTCGTGAAAGTGTAGTGGAGCGGCCTGAGACTTCTACCAGACAACGTTCTCAAGAACTGGTTATTCGTCGCACGTCATTATGCACTATTTTAAAAAAATACTTGCATTTGCGGCCATATGAAATTCAGTTAACTACAGCCTAGTGACCATGAAAGTCGCGGACAATACAGTCATGAAATATTGCAGCTTAAGATCCAAAATTGATAATGAGCGATGAAGCCCACTTCTATATGAACGGATTTGTTAATAAGCAGAATTGTCGTATCTGGGCATTAGAGAACCCTCGTGTCATCCATCAACGACCACTGCATCCTCGTCGAGTCACAGTTTGGTGCGGTGTTTGGTATGCTGTTTGGTATGGAGGTATCATTTTACCTTACGTCTTTCAAGATGATGCAGGTAATTCTCCTACTGTTACTGGCGAGCGCTACCGTGATATGGTGCAAAACTTTTTGGCTCCTCAAATCCAACAATCTATTCTACAAAACGTGGTTCCAGCAGGACGGAGCAACTTGTCACACAGCTAGGGAAACAATGAATCTTTTGCGAACAATATTTCCGGCACGTTTAATTTCTCGGCTTGGTGATGTCAACTGGCCACCAAGGTCACCGGATTTAATGGCTCCTGATGTTTCTTATGGGGATTTTAGAAAAATAGGGTTTATGCCAACAAACCAAATACTGTAGAGCAGCTGCAGAACAATATTACGGAACCGATTGAAATTATTCTTCCCGAAACCTACCAAAAAGTGATAGAAAATGTAATCAAGAGGGCTCAGGTTTGCGCGGCTTCTAGAGGCGGGCATTTGTCTGATATTATTTTTTCATACATAACTTCTAAGTTTCAATAGAACATTAAGATAAAAAAAAATGGGCGTATTTTATTTCATTTCACAAATATTCAAGATACAAACCAGTCAGTTACATATCGACAACCTGTACATATCAAAATCGCGTAGAGGATAGAATAGCAGCCAGTTTGAACAGAAATTATTTTTAACGAGAATTTAACGATTTGGTCCAATAAAAAAATAACTAGAAAATGTGTCTGAAAATCCGCCAACATTCAGTAGATGGGTCAAATCGGCAGTATAGTAGGTATACAAGGACCACACACCCACATAGACTTGATCAGGATTTTTTGCTCTAAGGAATATGCCATCTCCTTTAGTTTATTTTAGGGGTGGCTGGTCATATCTCTGACTCATGATAAAAATAGATAGATACTCAACCAAAATATTCTTTTAGGTGCAGCAGTAGGTCCACTCCTTGCTGGCTTTGTTTCATCGTATGGTTGGAAATACGTTTTTCTGATGCTTATGGCGGCAGATCTCTGCGCCTTTGTCTTATTGTTGAGGCTAGTAAAGCAAGAAGTTGTGAAATACCGCAGTACGAGAAGATCTGCTAGTCGAATAGAGTAATTTGCACGCAGTCAGTATGATACCGCTAAATTGGAACACTAGCTAAATACTGATAAGTACATACCGCCTTTCTAACAAGACATTGGTACTGTTCAGTTGCTAAGAGTTAGCACTTCGTGAAATATGGTTTGGCTCCGTTGTTAAATAATGCTCGCAATCAACTGAATCTAATGACAACTAGTACATCTACGTGACATACGTCAGTTCTTCCAATTAACCTGATTTTCAAAATTTTCTATGCGATTCATTCAGAAGACTAGGCTAAGCCATACTTTACTCAGCGCTAACTCTCAGCAGTCAAGTGCAACTGAACATAAATAATCTTGTCATCTATATATATTCCCTGTGATGCTCGAGTTGAATATATATAGTAGTAGTGTCATGCTGTATGTAGGAGAGAAAGTGGAAAAGCCATTATCATCTTCAAAGAATCTATTTCAGTAAAAGCGATTTCTCATAATATGATTTTCAGTATACCTACAAAAAAAAAGTTTACAGTTGTACAACATTCACGGTCACGGTTTGCCAGTCTTCAGATTATGATTCAGATGGCATCTGACATAAAAGCTTTACGACTTTCATCTTCTGAATATCCTTTAATACATGCTTTTTGAACAATTCTTTCAAGTCACATTAACGGTTCACTTCTCTCAATCTTAGTAGAATATAAAAAGCAAAATAAAAGAGTGATTCGTGAATGTACAAAGTATTTTATACATTGAGTAAATTTAATTTTATTTATGGAGACTTTATATTTTTATAGATAGCTTTATTGAAACGTTATTTATGAATTTTTTTCATGTTTTTAAAAGCTATGAGTGAATGCAGGATTCTGTTCATGTATATACTTGTATTGCAGCAGTAAAATCACAAGCATGTGGATTATTACTACAAAATTGGGTAAATCAGCTCAGTTTTTAGTCTAGCAAATTATTGGTATAAAGAAGAGCACCTTTTAAAGTACCAGACACAAAATATATGGAATTTGACCACCAGTCAATTTGAAAGAAAATCCAAATAGTGATAGTTCATGTTGTGCTGGTCAAATGTTAAAGTGGGTCAAAGCCCAAAAATGCTTCCTATTGGAGATAGAGAGTGCTAAAGTTTGGTGCCTTAGCTCCTGTAGGTATGCCTGCCTGCACCATTTCACAAAAATTAACTCGTTTTCAATGTATTCAGGGAACTTAACAATATAATAAAAATCACATGCAGTTGCAATATATACAGGGCGTTTCAATGAAAATGGAAAGTTGTTTAATAGAAAAGCTATATAAGATATTTGAAAAATTAGTTGGACATACAGGTTGTTGCACAACTCTGTGACGTAACAAACATGTATTTGACTGAAAAAACTGCCTATCCTTGAATACTAACATTTTACGCAGTTTTCGCTGAATTTTGAAACGATGCCGCAAAATGTAAAACCTTTGTAACAACAACAACAACTTGTATATTTTTACAGTATCAGATTTGCGTTTTTATGTTTACCATGATCTCAGGTTTAATACTGCTTTACTATTATTTGTTATCTGATTATATATAATGAATGATAAGATGTTTCACTAAAAAAAAACTTATCCTTCTGCTATGGAATTGTGCAACACCTTGTAGATCTCGAAATAATTTAGAAATACATACCTTTAAGAAGTCCTTCTTGCTGAATACATTTCTAATACCTTTTATAGTTTTTCTATTGAAGTACTTTCTATTTTCGTTGGGACACCCTGTATATAGTATTTTCATTAAACTGTTAGGTCAATAAAGATAGTTAGCTTTCATAAAATGGTGCAGGCATACCCACAGGGGCTAAAGCACCAAACTTTTACACCCCATATCACCAATAGATAGCATTTCTGGGCTTTGCACCCATTAGAACAGTTGATCAGCTCTACATGAACTATGTGTTGTGCCTAGTACTTCGTTCACAAATCAAAATATTTGAGATTATTATTTAAACAGTATACTCTAGGATGTTGAAAAAATGTCCATTATCCAGACAGGCTACTGTTGCTGCTGGTTTTGGGGGTGCTTATATTGATGTTGCCACCTTTTGTGTTGAAAAATTAAGACAGCTGAAGTGTGTCAACCATTTCTACATATTAGATATCAAGAAACAAAGAAAATTTTGATTTAATAGTGGTTAGAATGAATTCTAATATAAGGTTTTGTAACCTTATGTGAGGGTTTTACACATCTCTTTGAAAGAATAGTTTTGTGTCTCTGCATTAATATTTTTATTAAAAAATGTTACATAATTTGAATAGAAGTCATAGTATATATGTTAGATAGGAAACATGTTCTACTGTTGGGTGGAATATCAGTTAAGGTGATAGTTCACCTTCTGTTTGTTTAAAAAAAAGTCACATGTTACTATTACATAGTAATATAATATTGTGTGAGTTCTTGAAATAATTTTATGAGTATATAATGACCAGACTGCATTTTAGTAAAATTTTTATTAAAATACCACTGTGTTTAGCTAAAATTGTGTTTCATGTACATATATATGAAAATTAAATAAATTATTTTTTTAAAAGTATCCTATTATTTTCAAGGGGTTCCAACTGGAATTATAAATGATATATAATCAGCAAATGCTCCCCATCTGGCTCTGTTGAGCTGGAATGTTGTTACCCATGAAACTATCAAGATCAACCATATTGAAGATCCTATTCCAGAAAATATCACATCTGGAAATTTTAAAATAAGTTACAATTCAATATCTGAATTCAGTTTGCATAAAAAATTACTCTATACCCTATTTCACGAGTATCCATCATCGTTGAATGATAGGTTATCTAGTAATAGTTCAAAATTCCCCATATCGACACAGGCTAGAATTCTGACAGATCCATCAACACTCGATAGAGATAGAGCAGTATTTTGTTTTGGTTTTTTGTACGATACAGATTCATTTTGTATTAGCTAACAGCTCTTTTATCTAGAAAAGTTCATTTGCATACAAAAAAAAAACGCCACAAGTAAGTTTTACTAGATTTATACCTGATTCATTATTGCCATAATTGTAGACTAACAGAAAAATGGCACTTGCTGATCAGCTGTTCACCTCAATAGACGTCAAAGCGTGATGGATACTCGTGAAATAGGGTGTATATATATACCATATTGGGCAGTGGATAAAAGACACACATGATTAGGTAGTGCATGAAAAATAAGTGATAAATTATTGAAAATAATGAATAGTTTAGAGTGAATAAGGTCTAACTTTTAAACTTTGGTACTTACATTTCTTAATACGCTTTTGTTCCTCATACGCTGGCTTCCGGAATGCTTCATTGAAGAACCAAATAGCATTTACTGCCCATACGAAAGGTAAAAATAGAAATCCAACTGAAACACAGTATTATGATTAAGATTATCATATATAATTGATCTTTATTGCTTACTTCTAAAATACCATTGACAAAGAGACAGCTTCTTCTCATTTGATACCTTTGTTAAATCCATTTTATTAGCTTGTTTTTTCAAACACTTCCTTCTGTTTTGGAAATTTTTTTTTGAGGTTGAAGGATAGTTGACATTTGACAAGGTGAAGTTCAGACAGCGACGCTGTCAACAGCTCACAGTGTCGCCAGCCCAAGAACTATTTCATATAACTCAGTTGCGTAAAGCAATAAAATCGTTCCCACATGATATGGCGAATGCCCTAAGCCGCGTTCAGACCGAAATTCCACGCCGAACAAAGGAATGCAAGCACATGTGTGTTTGTTGTTGGAAGGTATTGCAATGCGGTTATCTACACCTAAATTTAGTTTCGAGTTGGACCGCGTTGGGGCCGTTGGGTTAAGTTCTGTGCTAGTGTCGAGGGACGAGGACGATTTACTGCTGGCGAGTGCGGGGTTTTTAACAATACATTCTGTCTGTTCATATCCAAGAAAAAGAAGAAACGCCCTAGATGTTGGTGGGTAACAACACCATTTAAAAATAGGGTCTTGTATAGTAGCAGTCACTTACTAGATGAACTTCAAACGACTAAATACTAGAAGCGTAACAAATCCTGTCCATACCAAATCAAACCTCTCTTTGATGTACCGATCAAGGAGCGAACGCATTTGAACGCCGACCTTGGAAACCGTTGGCTTATGTTGGCTCGCGCCGTACACACGAGATCTCATGTGTTTGTGTTTGATGGTTTCAGGTTTTAGGTTAGAGCCAGTGTTGCCATACGTAGCGGAATTCCGCTATTTGTAGCGGATTATTTTGAGAAGAGCGGCGTAGCGGCGGTAGAGCAAATTAGCCCAAAATTTAGCGGAATTTATTACATACAAAACTATCATATTTATTTCACTGTTTTAACGTTAATAACGTTCCAAAATCCTAAATAGGCAGTGGCTAGAGTCTGATTTATTATCGCATTAATAATAAAATTGGTGCATTTGGTGCCGCTTGAGCCATCTAGGAACAGAGAAGAGAATTATGCCACTTTCCTTTTTTTTCAATAACAGAAGGCGTACGCCGTACGTACTGCTTTCAATACTAATCGTTTCTAACAGGTCTCAGCAGGCAGACATAATATTAGGTTTCTCGCTTTGTATTGTATTTTTCAGCTCTGGGTATATACTGTTTAGTTTCGTTTATATTAGTGTTCTTATTTTTGTGTTGATAATTTTATTGATATATCATTTGCTGCAGATTTTAATATTAAATCTACTGGTAAGTAACAAAACTGCTTAAATATCTAACATATAGTTTGATCCGGAAATAAATCTTAGTCGCGAAATTTGTTTTTAACGCTTTTCTTCTGGAAAATAGGAATAATGGAAAGGCGACAGCAGACCATTAACGATTTTTTTGATAAAAATCCTTCTAAAAAACAAACGGTGAAACCAAACGTGGCCGTACCATCCACTTCGACTGCATCTGTGTCGGACTCGGAGCATCCCGAACCTGAATACAGACAAAATTAGAAGAGCGGAATCTAGTGGAATCAGGTCTGAGCCTGATAATTCGACTTGCGAATCTCAGGATAACCAAGAGCCAGAGCAACCTGTTAAGAAAAAGACACGAAAACAAATGTTTACTTCATCATGGCTAGAAGATCCGTTATTTAAAGGCTGGTTGGGACCTATTGAAAATGACAAGTTGAAAGCAAAATGTAAAGCTTGTTATCAAATAATGGGTGCTAAAAAATCAGATTTAGTGAATCATTCGAAATCAAAAAGGCATGCCACTAATGTACAAGCAATTTCGAATGTAAGAACGTTAGATAGCACTTTTCAGTCTCGGGAAGCACGTGAGTTGGAAAAACGGCAAATATTTGCTTGCTTAAGATATAGTCTTTTAGTTGTAAGTCATTATATAAGTTTTAGAACTGTTGATCATATAACATGAGTTAGTCAATTATGTTTTAAAGACCCAGATCCCTCTAGCTCACTTAAATTAAAAAGATCCAAATGCATAAGTATAATTAAAAATGTGCTGACTCCTGTTATTAAAGACGAAATAATTTCAGAATTGGAAAATAAACCATTTTCTATTTTATTGGATGAGAGTACAGATCTGAGCAATACAAGACTACTATGCATTCTTGTAAGGTATATTCATAAAAATTCAATTAAAACCCATTTATTAGATATAATTAAAATAAACGCAGATGAAGGTACCGCCAAAGGTTTATATTCTCTTTTTAAAAAATGCGTTATATCCAATCAAGTAAAAATTACCAATATTGTTGGATACTGTTCCGACAACGCTAGTGTTATGATGGGCAATAACGAATCTTTCAAAACTTATCTTTTAAAAGGTAATCCTAATATAATTGTCAATGGCTGCATTTGCCACTCTGCTCATTTAGTGGCGGTGGCGGCAGCTGAAAAGATTCCAAGCAACGTTGAAGCTCTTTTACAAAACTTATATTCTTACTCCTCAAGACGCCCAAAAGGCAGTGTGTTCTTGAAGAATTACAGGAATATTTCAAAAAGTCAAAATTAAACATTTTAAGCCCTAGTAGAACAAGGTGGCTTGCTTTATCCAAATGTGTTGATAGAGTTTTGGATCAGTGGGACATCTTGCTTAGCCTATTTAGATTAGCTTCCATTGAAGACAAAAATCCTGTAGCAAATGTAATACTTAATGAGTTACAGAATCCATTTGTTAAGGCGTATTTAATGTTTTTTAAATTCGTGTTGCCCATTTTTAACCAATTTAATGCTCTCTTTCAATCAGAGAAAGTTATGCTCAATAGAGAGTGAGCGATTTGTACGTCATCTACAGTATCGGACAAAAATAGAGCGACGATATATTTTTTTTCTTCTATTGAAAACGCAATAACGCAAGAGGAATTAAAACTCATTAAAACAAATACATTCATTGACACAAATACATTTATTACATTCTATACCAAACTTCTCCCATATTGACAAGATTCTAAAATGAAAAAGAAAAATCAAACACTCTTAAACGACAAAAGTTAAGCGACGCATACAATAAAAATAATACAAAACAGAATATTCATAAAACAAATACATTATCATGTTGCCTTCCTAATATTTAGTCCACAGTCCTCTATTTGCGAGAACCTGGCGGCACCTTTGAGGCATGGAAGAAATTAAATTATCAATTATGCTTTGATCAATAGTTTTCCAGATATTTTCAATTTCTTCAAAAATTTGCTGTTTATTTTTATAGGATTTGGTTCTAAGTTGCCTATCTACAATTTCCCACAGGTTTTCGATCGGATTATGATCGGGTGATTGGGCTGGCCATTTAAGAATGGTGATTCTATTTTCATTGAGCCATTCTTTTATACATTTTGCTGTATGTCATTGTCGTGTTGAAAAACAAATCGTAGTGGCATATTCCATTCTGCATAAGGCAGCATGATATATTCAAGGATATATTTATACTTAAACCTATCCATAATGCCCTCAATGTGATAAATTGGTCCCATTTCATAGCCAGAGAAACAACCCCACACTAACACGTTTCCACCTCCATGTTTTATAGTACCTTGGACATACTTTGGGTCGAGTCTTTTACCTGCAATACGCCGAACATATTGAACTCCATCACTTTTGTGCAAATCAAACTTTGACTCATCACTAAACAGTACTTTTTTCCATTGCTCTGGTGTCCAATGAGCATGTTGGGCTGCAAACAGACGACGTGCTTTAATATTCTTCTTACTAAGAAGCGGTTTTTTTGCAGGTTTGCATGCCGTTAAGCCTGCTTCAACTAGTCTGCGCTGTATAGTCCGAGAAAAAACATTAGAGTCCCCAGCTTCAGCCAGAATTTGTTTTGCTGTCAAAAAGGATTTGCCTGAAAGATCCTCTTAATTCTCCTATCAAGTTTCTTTGTAGTTTTTCTCGGTCTTCCCGTCTGTTTTAGGTTGACTACTTTACCCCTAATTCGATAATTCTGAATTTTCCTCGACACCACAGATTTTGAAACCCTCAGTTCTTGTTTTATTTTATAATGTGGTATTCCCATCTTATATGATGCAATAATTATTTCTTTAAGATCAACAGAAAAACTTTTACCGCGAGGCATTTTATACACAAAATAACATCCGATGTT